ATTTGATCTTAATCTAAATTCCTGTGGCGTATAAAGCAGCAAAATGTCGCATTTTTAAAAAATCATTGCGTCACTAACGTATTTAAATAAAGCTAAAAATAATAATGAGATTGTAGCGACGTGCTTTAAACCGTCTAATGCATAATTTATTGCAGTCAGACTGCAGTGGTGCCCAAACACACACCTTATATAAAATATGAGGGACAATCCGTTTATGGAAAAACGGCAAAATATTGTCTGCGTTTGTTTATTTGTTTTGCAGCTAAATATCAAATAGTCCAGTCATTGTCTCTTCTGCATCTAACATATCAAATATCAGAAATAAAAAAGGCTACCGCAGTAGGTGAAAGCGCCATCACATATATTACATTTTGAATTTACAGACACATTTGTGCTTAGAAATATTTATTAAGCGTTTTATTTGCTTTTATTTACACAGAAGGTTAAGCGCAAAAAAGATTAAAAAATAAAAATAAGCAGAAGACATACCTTAATGCTGTCATTATACTTTAATTATTCACATTTAAATTTAATTGAATTACAGCCAGCAACATTTTTAAAGCTTTTTTCCCTCCTCAAAAACACCCCGACTTATTTCTTGTATTTATTTATTTAATTATTAATCGCCATGCACGCACCAACACACTCAAAGCAGCCATATTTTCTTTTTTTTTTAACCTGTTTAAAATTAATGCTGTATTTTTTTTAAAAATATATATTTTAATTTTAAATAAAGTATGTTTTCGTTCTGTTTGGAGAAAAAGACGGTGTGTAGTTTTGCAACAGGCTACACTGCACAATTGGTTAAATGCCAAGACTGCTACAGAGATAAATGTGATGGGTTTCGATCCTGTTTTGGTTTGTTTATCCGGTTACTATAAATCTACCCATTTTTATTATATGCCGGTATAAACGCGAGAGTTGTAATTTTATTTGTTTGTATCAACACATGGTCTGTATTTAATTATGTCTATCGAAAAAGGAAATCACAGCCGCCCACCTTTTCTCAAGTTCAATTTCCCGGAAAGAAAACATGTACATCGCAGACCTGGAAAATAAAACCAGTGATAAGACTCGTGTGGTTGTATGGAAACAGAAAGGAGAAGGGGTGGAGGTGGTGGTGGTGGTGGAGGCAGCTGCAGCCAGAGCACGTTCAGACCTCCGCTGCGGTGAGAGGCGGAGGCTCATTTGCACCGTCAGTACAATGTGGAGAACAAGCAGAGACAACCCAGCAGACAATAAACAAAGAACTCGCCATGTGCGCTGCAGCTGCTGCACACACATACACACACATGCACACGCACAGCTGAGGTGCAGTGAGAAGTCGCCGCCGCCAGGGGGCAGACTAACCCCTGAAACCATAGCACAGGCTGAGGAATACACTCACTATCCCACGGACACACTGTATCATATTTATTGGTGATTAAAGAAGAATGGATGAGTTAGACGTGATTAAACTGACTCAAATCCATGTGATATCACGCGTCCAGCTTGCTTTAGTGTCCTTGAGCAACACATTAATTCCCTACCATCACCAGGGTGGCTGCTCTGCTGATGGTCCTGACCTTTGACCTCTCTGTTAGTGAGCACAAGAGAATAGTTTCCATGAAATGTCTTTTATTGTATCTTAACAAAACATACAGTGGAAAATATGAGCATATAAAGTCTTATAAAGTTTATATCCTTATATAGGCTGCAGTTATGGCTGACATGCATTTAAAATTAAAGCTGCGGACACAATATAAAAGATGGAAAACTTTTAACAGAATGTGTAGTGTAGTGTGGAGTGAAGTCAGGCCGGCTGGTAGTTCTCTAAACGCTCCAGCAGGACCTCTGAGTAGCCAGGGGAGTAGTACCTGAAACAACACACACACATTTGCTAAGTTTATTCTTCTGTAACCTTATTTCTAATCATGTATTTAATTGTAATTTATTTAGTCTTATTTTATTGTTAAAGCATTTCTAATCAGAATAGATGCTAAAAAAATGTAGCCTATGATCGTTACAGGATAGACAGACTGGGTGGAGGAAGAACACAGTGCTAAAAACTTGCTGCTGAGCCAGCACACGGCTCTGAAATTATGGTCATGTGGTCTGATCAGTCACTCCCAGATTACTGTTTACGTCTCAGTCCTCTTTCAGGCACAGGCAACAAGATATGTGTTCAAGCACGCGTGTATGTGTATACGAATGATAGGGACACACCTGACTATCTCTTCAGGAAAACAGCTGTTGATGGCGTTAATGTGCTCCTGCAGAGCGGAGCCGGGCTCAGCCTGGATCTCTTGCACTTTCTTCAGCCCTCCACTGGTCACAAACAGACGGCGAGCCTTGTTGTCATGAGGCAGCACCTTGGAGGAAAGGGGAGATAAGAATGTATAGCACAAATATAAAATCTTAAAACCTGACACTGGTTTTGATTTTTAAAATGCACTGTAAAATGCAGATCATGCTCACCTTGCTGAACTGGCAGACGACGTGTTTGAGGATGTTGCTCGGGGCGTCGTAGAGGAGGGGCTCCAGACCCGGCAGGTAGGTGCACTTCTGCAGAACACTCTTCAGAGCCCTCTTACTCTGGAAATCATAAGAGGAATTAAATATACTGCATACAGTCATACACCGTTCCCCTTTCAGCCTTTTACCAAGTGACCTTTGACACCAGCTGACCTCTGACTCAGTGCATTGAAAGCCATCACAGATACTAATTATGTTCCCTCACTGTAAGTGTGAGCTGATGAAATATGACAGAGTATACAGACATTTGTTGAGATCTCTTATTACACTTAATTATGGCATACTATAGTGACATTTTTTATAACATACTATACTATGACAACTTTTGTTAAAAAAAAAAAAAAAAAAAAAAATTACAGCAGACTAACCCATAACTTTTTAAGACACTTTTTCCCCATACTTTATGATGAAAAATTTAAAGGCATACTTTTCTATTACATCTTTATGACACTATTTTTTATGAAGAACTACACTATGGCATTTTTTGTGACGTACTTCACTATGAAATTTTCTTATGACACTTTTTATGACACTTATCTGTGACACTTTTTGACAAACATTTTGACACACTTTGATGGCATACTATACTGACGTTTTTTATGATACTTTTTTACGACATACTTGGGTGTGACTTTTTTTGCATGACAAACAATATTATGAATGTTTTATGACATACGATATTGTGATTTTTTTTGTAACATACTATGACATTTTTGACATACATTATTATCACAGTTTTTGAATACTACTATACTATGACTTTTTTTTCATGATTTTGGATGAAATACTATACTATGATGTTTTTTTCATGATTTTGGACGACATACTATACTATGACTTTTTTCATGATTATGGACGACATACTATACTATGATGTTTTTTTCATGATGTTGGATGACATACTATACGATGATGTTTTTTTCATGATTTTGGACAACATACTATACTATGACTTTTTTTCATGATTATGGACGACATACTATACTATGATGTTTTTTTCATGATGTTGGATGACATACTATACGATGATGTTTTTTCCTGGTTTTGGACGACGTACTATACTATGACGTCTTTTCATGATTTTGGACTACGTATTATACTATGATGTTTTTTCATGATTTTGGATGACATACTATACTATGATGTTTTTTCATGATTTTGGATGACATACTATACTATGATGTTTTTTCATGATTTTGGACTACGTATTATACTATGATGTTTTTTCATGATTTTGGACGACATACTATACTATGACTTTTTTATGATTTTGGACGACATCCTATAGTATGATGTTTTTTCCTGGTTTTGGACGACATACTATACTATGGTGTTTTTTTCATGATTTTGGACGACATACTATACTATGATGTTTTTTCATGATTTTGGACTACGTATTATACTATGATGTTTTTTCATGATTTTGGACGACATACTATACTATGACTTTTTTATGATTTTGGACGACACCCTATAGTATGATGTTTTTTCCTGGTTTTGGACAACATACTATACTATATTGTTTTTTCACGATTTTGGACGACATCCTATACAATGATGTTTTTTTTCTTGATTTTGGACGACATACTATACTATGACTTTTTTTTCATGACTTTGGACGACATACTATACTATGACTTTTTTCATGTTTTTGGACAACATACTATACTATTACCTTTTTCTTGATTTTGAACAACATACTATACTATGTTGTTTTTTCATGATTTTGGACAACATACTATACTATGACTTTTTTTTCATGATTTTGGACGACATACTATACTATGTTGTTTTTTCATGATTTTGGACAACAGACTATACTATGACTTTTTTCATGATTTTGGACGACATATTATGCTATGACTTTTTTCATGTTTTTGCACGACATACTAT